AAGTAGCCTCATATATACTGGTTAAATAACGGGAAAATATATTTTTAAAAATTAACATTGTTACTTTTACCTATCAATCTCTCGAGACTTGAATTTTCTCATCTAGATTTTGCAAATGATAGTAAATTCCCTACTTGCAGGAATGAAATAAATCAAATTTGTTATTCTCACAGTTCTTGTGAAGAAATACAAGCTATCATGTTACCTGGGTCACATTTACAATGATGCCCAAAACTCCAAACAAATTCATATGACAACCCAACATTTCATTTTTTAATTTTAAATATTAGTTTCTTCAAGAGAAATTGCCGTTATGTCTTTTTGAACATCCACAAAAATCTCATGGAAGTCATGGAATCAATTTATTGGGTCTAGGGAGAGGATGTGACAGGAAACATTGTGTCCAACAAAAATAAAAATAAAATAATGATCAATAATAGTTTGTTAGCATGGGCTGTAGGATGTGCGTTACCGCTCAAAGGCTCTTCTCAAAGTCTTTCCCTATTGGACAAATCGGCTGCTCTAAATTCCTTCTAGGAGGCTTCAGTGAACTGAGGTTTTACCAGTATTCTGTTTTCCTTTTTAACGCTAGTTAGGTGACTTTGAAGTCTTCCTTAAATAAGCAAATTGAAGAGTTGTGCTGACTATATTAATACAGTGGCATGCTAATGTAGAAACACAATATTTCACTCAAAATCATTAGGGCTGTTAGAAGACATTGAAGAACACTTAAAATGATATAGCTGGTTAAAATCATTATTGCATGTTTGCACAAAGAAGCCTAATTTTAATATTGAATTTATAGTTTGTTTTTAGTAATACATTTAATATGTACTTTAGTGTTATTGCAATGAAAGTTGTTATGGGTAAATGTATGTTTATATAAAGAACACAAATTTGAGGAACAGGCATTTAAGAATGTGTGAGTTATTAGCTGCTAAAAGAAACATCTTCCTGAATAGTATTCATAATACTTTATGGATGAAATACAAATAGACAATTCTGACTTGTTCTTTTTGAAATTTTTCTGATGTTAAAACATTTACTGAATTATTTTTTATTTTAAATGGAGATTATGACGTTACAAAATAACTCAAAGTCCTGAGCATAGATCAATTCATAACTTCTGACTCAATACTAATATTTTACTGGTTAATATACTAAACCATAGAAAGCCTTGGCACCAGATTGCACATAAAATTTGATATCTTATCTCACTCAGTAATATTCAATTAGAACTTGATTTAAAGGGACCATATTTAAATCTGTATGGGACATTTTCCTTTTAAAACCATGTCTTGTCCTCTTTTTATCATTATGTGCTAGAGCCTGGCCGAAAACTCTAGGAGTTGGGTTTGGTGGACAATGACTCTTTAGGTCATTCAGCCAGAGAACTACGGTAGATCCATCAGTTGCTACTAAAGCTTAACCTGAAATGTCTTTCTTCTCCTCACATCATAATTACCTCAGTGGAATGTAGAGCACACCCACTTTTTATTTTCCTTCCCAATATGTCTTGTTTTAATTTTATTAACTCTAAATTTTTATTTAATAATATATCTAAAATTATTATGGTGGTGAGGTGGTAAAAATCAAATAAACAAAGCCCTCCAAAAAATGTTGTTGCCCAGGGCTTGGAATTATTCTCAATGATCTCACGTGGAGGTTGCTAGGAGTCAGCATTGACTCTGTGGCAATGAGGTTTTTGTTTTTGTTCTTTTTATAACAGTACAGGAGACCCTTGCTAGGTAGTCACTTTTTGGCAGAATATATGGTACTAATGTTTTCCCTTGTCTCTAAGGGAGAAAAAGTAATAGAAATGGGAAAATTATATTCTGAGTTATAAGGCTTTATACCAAATTCTTATCATTACTCTTAATTGCCAATTCTTAGAATGAAGAAAAAAAAAAAAGAAACCAAGAACCCAAACTCAAACTAACCCCAAATCATATATTTCCATAAATCATACAATGAGATCTGATATAATTTATCTAGAATATATTATTTTACCATGTGGTGAAAAATTACAAATTATTACTGGAGTGAATTAATATTCCTTCAAACATGCTAACTGTTCTTTTACACATTTACTTGATTCTTATTAAAAACTATTTTTATCTCCCATTGAGGCACTGCGGATGACACCTTCAAGATAAATTCAAGAACCCCACTGAAGGATCTAATATAAGGCATGAAGCGTAAAATTCTGTACCAGGAACATAACTGACTACTACTGTACTCACTGACTCCTCTTGTATTAGCTTTTTAAATTATTATTAATTAAATGTAAAGTCTGGCATTGACCTTATAAAAGTGCTCAACTCTTTTCCTTTAATTTCAAATAGATTAAAAGTAAGATTCGATGTTAATTAAAAACTTAGAATTTATGGGGGGGTGTTAATTGCAAACAACATTTCAGTGGTGAGCATGTAGATAACTTCTCCATTTACAGCACTGAACAATGACAAAACATAAAATAAATCATTTGGAGTGAAGAAAACCACCACTGGCTCTCTTGCCCATATGCAGCTCAAAATCATATTTAGCTGGGGGCAGGTAGTAGGAAGCTCAACACTAAGGATTTCAGTGGGAAATTCCTAACTTTTACATTGAAGCCTGGAATTTAATTGTTACTCTGAAAATGTACTATGTTTAGGAAGATAGCTTTCAAAGCCTTAAAAATCATCATGGTTATTCAGCTTAATTAAAATACTTTACCATTACATTATGCAAATATGATTTCAGCTGCTACTTTTTTAAAACTGAATTTAAGATGTTACAGGATAACTGGTGTCCAAGAGGCTCCTTGAAGGTGATTATTTTATTATTTATTACCTTAAGCAATTGTTTATTATCTTAACCGGAGTCTCTTGTATAAAAACGGCCATCTTATGTGGGGACCTGTAGCGCAAGTATTTTCCAATTAGCATCTTTGCATGTTCTACTTTGGCATGAGTCAGGCTTAGTCTTGACACACTGGGCTTTTAAGAGGAGCTCTATCTTTGCAGTGCAGACTACATGTGACAAGATTAAATTGGCATACTTTACACTGTAGCTCTTGTGTTCCTGGCAGCACTATGCTGGCTGATATCTCTGAGAGAAGGCTCAGCTGTCACTCAGTGACCCATTAACACTACAATTCCATCCTGCAGTGTCATTTTTCTCATGCTCATGGAGATAATGCTCCCTGGAGATCTCCAGTACCTGCAGGAATGAAAGAGAACAGCAGAGACATGCTAACTATCAAAGAGGGAGCAAACAACACAGCAAGACCATGGATTCCAACAGCAGAATTTTAAACTGAGGGAAAAAATGATGGCTAGGCTAGGAAGGTGGAGGGCCGATTGAGTTTTAGGAGGTATCATAACTTTTAACAAGCTATTTTCTCCTCCCTACATAAGTATCAAAAGAAGTTTCCAAAAATAACATTTGCAACTAGATATAGAGAAGGTGGCTCCTTTGAAATGCAATAGGGGAATCTGTAATAGGTTAGGATGTATCATTTATAGATAAGCAGTGGTTATAAAACAGATATAAGACCAGTTAAATGAAGTTGCTAAATATCCTAAATAGAACAAGTTTCCTTGTTAGGATTGGCTTATTGGTTTACAAAATCCTCTTTCTTGTAGAAATACAAAAGGGGAAATAATGTAGCATCTCTGTAGTCCTAAGTCTAAAGCTTCTTCTATTTTATAATTAAATCATTAAGTGTAGCTTAAACAAACTCACTGCTATCTTGGAAGTTCAAACTATCTATTGCTTGGCAGGTCACTTTATAAGGAGTTACACTTTCTAATGGTTACTGAAGAGAGCTTATTCAAACATCTTAGTTTCGAAGACTAAGGCTAGTCTAATTTAATTTTATACAAAAGCAAAAGCAAAGCAAGCTGTCATGTGATGTGTTCAATGGAAACCGTTGGAGATAATTTTAAATAGAGGTAGAGGAAAACAAAACAAATCAAAACAACAACAAAAAAAACTATTTGAGAATATAGCAGTGGTTCTCAACCTGTGGGTCGCGACCCCTTTGGGGGTTTATTGAACGACCCTTTCACAGGGGTCATGCAATTCATAATAGTAGCATAATTACAGTTATGAAGTAGCAACAAAAATTATTTTGTTTGGAGGGGGATCACCACAACATGTGGAACTGTATTAAAGGGTCGCAGCACTAGGAAGGTTGAAAACCACCGGAATACAGGGTTACAAAAAAGTTTGAGAAAATATACAAAATTAAAAGCTTTTAAATGTCATCTTCATAATTAAGAGAGGTAAGAACCTCTCTCTGTCCCACAAGTCCAAGGTTATTAACTGGATTAGGGTGCTATTCTCAGGCTGGGGTTTGTGTAGCCTTCCGGTGACAGAAATGGTAGAAAACATAGGATAATTATGTATGGCATAATATCTGGAACACCAATCTTTCTTTAACAATTTTATAGTAACGTTGCAGTACAAAATATTTATTTCTACAATAAAATGAATATGGAGCATTCTGGAGTCTGATAAAATATTCGAATGTCCTTTAAAGAGCTTAAGTAAGACTTCAAAGAAATAATGGTGACAACACCCTTGACTTCACCTCCCGGAACTGTTGTGAGGAGTTTGAATTTGTTGCTCTCTTGTTTAAGATTACCCTTGAGGGGACTCCCTGAGAAACACTGCTCCACAGTTTAGCAGGAAAAGGGACTCAGATAACTACCGTTTGGCTGTAATGACGATGTTAATTAGAATTGGGATGTCGTTCGGCCACCTCTTCCAGCAAACGAAACATCTTTGACTCTTAGTTCTCCGTTTGAAAGGTACTTTAAGTCAGTCCACCCACGTCGGATGGCTAGCTGCCCGGGCAGCCCAGCCCAGGCCTTGACGTCGTCCCACTGACGTCACCGACGCGCCGAGCGTGGTGCTACGTCACATTCCAGAGCCGGAAGGACCCGCCGGACTTGGAACGGCTGCCAACGGTTGGCGCGGTGTGGAGTTGTCGCCCTCAGCCTCCACACTCCATGAGGAAAATGCTCGCCGCGGTGATGTCCCGTGTGCTGTCGAGAGTGGCTGCCCAGAAGCCTGCCAACAGGGTGCTGGTGGGCTCCTGTCACTATTCCAAACAGGCTACGTTTGAAATTAAGAAATGCGATCTCTATCAAATGGACGAGGGCCCTCCTGCCTCCACCGAGCTCACCAGGGAGGATGGGCTCAAGTACTACCGGCTGATGCAGACTGTCCGCCGCCTGGAATTAAAGGCCGATCAACTGTATAAGCAGAAATTTATCCGTGGGTTCTGTCACTTGTGCGATGGCCAGGAAGCCTGTTGTGTCGGCATCGAGGCAGGCATAAACCCCACGGATCACGTCATCACATCCTATCGGGCTCATGGCTTATGCCTTACGCGGGGCATTTCTGCCCGGGCAATTCTCGCCGAGCTTACGGGCAGAAGAGGAGGTTGTGCCAAAGGAAAAGGCGGATCGATGCATATGTACGCCAACCACTTCTATGGGGGCAATGGCATTGTGGGAGCTCAGGTACCCCTGGGAGCCGGCATTGCTTTGGCCTGTAAATATAAAGAAAACAAAGAAGTCTGTCTGACTTTATATGGCGATGGCGCTGCCAATCAGGGTCAGCTATTTGAAGTTTACAATATGGCCGCTCTGTGGAAACTGCCCTGCGTTTTCATCTGTGAGAATAATCGCTATGGAATGGGCACATCGATGGAAAGAGCAGCAGCCAGCACAGATTATTACAAGAGAGGCCATTTTATTCCTGGGATAAGGGTAGATGGAATGGACATTCTGTGTGTCCGGGAGGCAACCAAATTCGCTGCCAACCATTGTAGATCTGGAAAGGGGCCCATACTGATGGAGCTGCAGACCTACCGTTATCACGGACACAGTATGAGTGATCCTGGAGTCAGCTATCGTTCCAGAGATGAAATTCAGAATGTAAGAAGTAAGAGTGACCCCATTATGCTTCTCAGAGATAGAATGGTAAATAACAAGCTTGCCAGTGTGGAAGAATTCAAGGAAATTGACGTTGAAGTGAGGAAAGAAATTGAAGACGCCGCCCAGTTTGCCACAACTGATCCTGAACCACCTTTGGAAGAATTAGGCCATCACATCTACTGTAATAGTCCACCTTTTGAAATCCGTGGTGCAAATCAATGGATCAAGTTTAAGTCCATCAGTTAAAGAGAAACTTGTGCCAATGTGTCAATTATTATTAGGTCTTAGTGGAGCGTTCCTGATCATCTGGCTAAGAAACTTGTTAGTTTTGGAAAGAAATAAAATGAAAAACTAAAGTCTTGAGAATATTTCTTAAAATATATGAACTGTCAATTAAAGGGGAGACTAAATATATCAAATTACATATCCTTGCATTTAAAATATGCTGTGTATTTAATAAGTGTGGATATCTTAAAGATTATTTGAAAGGTATCCATGACTAAAATATGAAATATAGAAAAGGATTAAGTGCTTGATGTATTTTATTAAGTTTTAGACTTTTAATATATTCTTTTACCAGTTTTAAAAAAGAAAGGTAAATTTGTTTTATTTCTGCCCTACTCTGCCATGGTAGGTGTGTGAATTTATTATCCTGAGGTAGATGTTTTCAAGTCTCATCAAGGTAATAGAACCTTCAATGCAATGCAACTTAACAGCAGTTTACTTGAAATAACCCATAGCTAAAACAGTTTAGTATAACAAGGTGCATGTATCCACTCAATACACATATTAACAAGCAATGTTGATGAGGAAGATAGTCATCACTGACCACTTTTGTCAATAAAACACATTTTTATAAAAGGAAGGCAGGGACAAATATATTGTATTAAAATATTTTTAGTGCACTAAAAGGAAACACTAAACAAAATCTAAGGAAAACATGCAGTTTCTGTAACGAGTTATTCTTATTTCACATTTGTGTCCAAGATTTTAAAGAACCATCCTGGGTGGTGAATTTCAGAGCAATTGAATATATTGAAACATAGAGATGGTTTCATCAAAAAGTTAAACAGAGGAGGTGATATTAATAAAAAGTTGAAAGGAAAATGTGTTGGGGTAGAACTTACAGCCACAGATATGTTTTTATAAAGGAAAATCTAACTTGACTCAAAGGTTCATTCCCTTTACTATTGATTAACAAGTCATGATTTAGTAGAAAAAGGTTACTCAGTTCAATTTGACTAAGGAGGCCTGGTGGTGCAATGGTTAAATATTCAAGGTTAAGGAAAGAAGGTCTGAAACTGGAACCACTAGGGACTCCACTGGAAAAAGACTGCTACCACAGAGATTAGGAAACTAATTCTGAGAATCAACTCAGCGTACAGCATAACATAATTTATGACCCAGTATCCTAGCAAATATGCTGTATGATGTGGTTTACTCTTCTGGGACTAATTTTCAAAACCAGAAATGAGAATTTACCTATGATTTAAGTTTTAAGAAATAGTTTCGAGAAAAGACCAAAGATGGTGGTGGTGGTGCAGAATAAATCTGTTTAAGATCTTAATCTTATCTTTACAATTTTTTCTACCTAGAGGTTGATAAGAACTCAAACCAAGTAAACCAGAATAGAGGCCATTGAATAGCTATTGAGCGTGGACCCCCCCTCCCCCCCAATCACACACACACATTCTGACATTCGGTTGTGCATAGTTTGTGTCATAATCAACCCAATGGCACCTAAGAAGAATATGTAATATTCATCCAAACAGCTCAAAAGCAAGTTCAACATCCAATATTGAGAGAAACCCTTTAATTTTTGGAATACAAGTGCAATTCAAAAGTATTTGATTGAATCCCTTCATTTTAAAGAGTTAAGATGCTTGAAAGCTGCATATATTTCTAATGACAACTGTCCCATTCTCCTTTTGATAAACTAATGTTACCATAAAAATGCACGTGGAAGATAAGCTACTTAGCTGAAACGTTTAATATAAACAGCATATAGAAATCATTGAAATATAGAAATCATTTAAAACCCTGTTCATACCAACAAAATTAAGATAAAATGATTAGAAATAATTTAAAAAATCATTAGAAATGAAACCACCACTTAACCAAAATGCATAAAAATGTCAGTCAAAATATACAGTCTATAGTTGAAGACCTCATTTTTCTTACGTTTTCATTCCTTTTATTACCAGTATCTATATAAATCCAATCTTTGTTTTTGGGAGTTGGAAATTATATATATATATATATATTAATACATAAAAATTAGACACAATTTTTAAAACAGTGATATTATCATACTTCTAATATATCCTAACTCTGGAATACCTGTTTTCAATGCTTTATTTAAACAGTTATAGGTTCTGTGTGTACATTCAAGAACTGTAGTATCAGAGTACTGTTCATGTTTATCACCGTGGGTAGACTTGTTTCCAATTGTATAGAGCCCTGAAAGGAGTCCTGGTGGTGTATGGTGAAACTTTGGGCTGTGCTCCATGATGGTCGGCAGTTGGAACCACTAACAGCTCCGTGGGAGAAAGACGGCTTTCTATTCCCATAAACAGTCAGAATCTTGAAAACCCCAAGGGTAACTACTATTAATCAGCATTGTCTCCATGGAAGTGAGTTTGGTTTGGGTTATGGAGTCCTGATGGGTGGGTTACCTGTTGAGCTGTGTGATAGTCTGGGTACTTTAGAGAAACAAATCAAACTCATGTATAAGAGAGAGAGCTTTATATAAAGGGTAAGTGTACAACAAGAAAACATCCCAATCCAGTGCTGCCTAAACCTGTAAGTCCAACATTAACCCATTTAACCCATAAGTCCAACACCAATCCACAAAGTCCTCCATCTCACAAAACACACATGACACTCACTGCAGGAAGAAGCCTAATCAGTGAACGTGTAAGCATCTCAGAGCTGGCAGGGGTCTCCACATGGCTGCCTCAGCACCCAGAGCTGCATTGGGATAGGTCCATGCAGCTTTTCCTCAGGGATGTCTTGGACGTGAGCTTTGCTAGCTGACGCAGGGAACCGGCGAAGGCAGCTGCACCCTGGTCCGACCATCAGAGACCAAGAGACCCGAGAACTAGAAAGGCGAGGATCACTGAGCCATTTATTTCTCCACCCTTCAATTAACCCCACACGTGTTTATTGGCCAGGTTGGCACAATAAACTTTAACTCAAGCTGCTAACTGCAAGGCCAGCTCTTTGAAACCACCAGCCAGGTCCCTGGCGCAAAAACAAGGGTTTTAACTTCTGTGAAGAGTTTCAGTCCAGGAAACTCATGGAGGCAGTTCTACTCTGTCCTATATGGCTGTAGCTGTCAGAATTGATTTGATGGCAGCACTTTAATCAGGTAAAAAAAAAATCAACAATTGAATTTTATTTCCTATTTTAGTACATGTTAGAAGACTAATTTTTAGCACATAACAGATGAGCAGTTAGAAGACATATTTAGGACACGTTAGAGGTATTTATTTTTAAATTGCATTAGTTTAAAAATTGTGTTTATTTTAAAAATTGACCTAAGTCTGTACATACATAGTGTATAAATAATACAGCAGAAAATTAAACTTTTTGAAATTGACATATAGTTAGCATGCCATAAAATGCACCTTTTGAAAGTGTATAATTTGGTGTGTTTTTAGCATGTGCACACTGGACAGCCTTTACAATTAATAACATTTGTCCACCTCAAAAATTTTGTAACCATTTTCTCATTATACTTTCTTTCTGTCCAATCTCTAGTAAACACTAAGCTACTTTCTATGGCTAAATGTACCTATTCTAGACATTTCATATACATGGAATCATACCGTTTGCAATCCATTGTGATATATTTCACTTAGCATGCTTGAAAGTATTTTAAATCCATAGCATGTCCATAATGCTTTAGTGGGTAAACTGTATTCCATTTCATTTATCTACTTATCAGTTAATGGGTATTTTGTGTATCTCCACTTTGTGGCAATCAGAGATAAGAGCTAGTTTTCATTTGTGTTTTAAGGTAGGATAAGATTGTATGGGTATGAAGACAAAAGTACAAATAATGTGTAAGAGAGAGAAGACCCCTATCAAAATTCAAAAATTCAGGGAAGAAATTTGTCATGGAACAACTACGAGATTCTGGCACCCAATATAAATTCAGGTCATGTCTATAGGAAAGTCAACTGTCAAGTATCAAGTATCAAGTTCAATCCAGCATTATCACAATTACAATGCTCTTTGCCAGATAGCGAAGCTGTTTAGGAATCTTGTCTTTGGCTTGAGCAGATCAGCCAGAGGCTCAGTCTGAGTATATACTCTGCAAGCAGTTAGTTTTAATCAGAACAATTTTACTCCTGGTAAACATGGAAGCAAATGTTAAAGAGTCTAGGCCAAGAAAATGAAACACTGTCTTTTATATAATCCTTTTCAATTATAAAGACATCAACTTGAAGACTGAATTTCAGATTGAATATGTACTAGTATATAATATAACTTATTTTTTCAAACCAGTTTTGTTTTTAAGAGAATATTTTAATAGTGTTTGGATTTACAGAATATTTGAGCATATAGATGCTTCCCAAGTACCTTTTATCAGATGTATATTATTTATATTAATTATGTGATCATGAAAGGGTCAACTCAACAGACTTGGTTTGGTTAAGATCTACAAATTCCAAAGAAAGTCTGTCTTTACATTGCTGCACTATAAATTCTGATTTCTTAGAATATTCTGCTTGGCTAGGATGCTTTTGTATGTTGGAGGAGTTAGACCAACCTGTACAAGTTTGACCAGAAAAATGTATCTTAACAAATCGATTACAAGGTTCGGACAAGGATGGACAACAGAAAAGTGGATGAAGGGAGACGTGGGACAGTGTAAGACATGACACAATTATAATTTATAAATTATCGAGGGTTCATGGTGGGGGCATGAGGAGGGAGGGGGATAAATGAGGAGCTGATGCCAGGGGCTTGGGTCAAGAGCAAATGTTTCGAGAATGATGAGGGCAACGAATGTACAGATGTACTCGACACAATTGATGTATGTATGGCTTGTGATAAGAGTTGTAGGAGCCCCCAATAAAATGATTAAAAAAGAAAAAAAGAATGCGATTTATGGTGAACACATTTTGCTCTGCTAGGGACTCGAGTTCAAATTGCTGAGTCAGTCACATAGTGGTCCTGTTATGTGACTGCTCCCAATTAAACTCTCCGCACATTTCGGATCGAATGAGCCTTCCCAT